CCTGACGGATCCTCTCTTGCTGGCGAGATCCCCTTCCCTGACGGATCCTCTCTTGCTGGCGAGATCCTCTCCCCTGACGGGCCATCTCTTGCTGGCGAGATCCCCTTCCCTGACGGGCTAATGCCTGGCGGATTTATGACGGTGACTGGGCTTTTGTTAGTCGCTGGTGTCACCATTGTGGCTAAATGCTACTTTCGTATATGAATAACTTCAGTCGATGGAAAGAAAGACTATACATCGAGTCTTCTCATTTCTAACAGGGGAAATATGAATTTGATAAATACGTCAACCCCTCATTTACCAGGAATGCAAGCTATGTCAGAGCGCTTCTCACTGCATCTTTTTGGGGTTGTGGCGTCGCTGCTTGCTAACAATCTGCAGCTTGCAAACATGCATGCAAATTTGTGGCCACTGTCTTTACGCCACTGGATAACGCCAGGCGCCAGCGGACGGATGCATCGGATGCCAATTCCTTGGTTAATAGTGAATGCAAGATTCTAATTCATTATTTAAAGACTTGCATCCATTGATTATTGCCAGATCATTCGGAATTCTAAACTGGTCAAGAGCGTTGTTTTATCAGCACAATGCAAAATGGCGTTCAGCAAGGACATTCTACAATATGCTCCTGACAAGAATCAAAATAAACCAAAAGGTAGCATTCATCTCCGTTGCTCATGTTGAGGAAGAAAGGTTTACTGAATCTCCGGCATTGAAGTGTTCGAATCGCGGCCAGCTACCCCAGGCCTTCTCATTTGCAGCGCCAACCTTTTGTCAACTTTCACAATGAGCACTGCAGTTTGGTCCATAGCACCAGAGCCTCCGAGCAAAACTATTCTTTGGATGAGCGCTGCAATTTGGTCTAAAGCATCGGAACTTGTGAGCAACAATGCAATACTTGAAGTATGTAAGCCCTTATCCAGTAACACTTGTTACGGGCTAACAGCACCTAAACCCCAGACAGCCCAAAATCTTGCGCTGTTAATTAAATCAAAGGAAATTGCATTTGCAATATTTATACCTGCGGCCTGCATCTTCGCTATTACAGCTATTACAGCAAGTAATAGTTTTATTTGGAGCATGTGTCTCTTAGGACAAATATTTTGGCTCTTTACAGGTGTAACAGCAAGAGAATATTGTCTCATTTGTCTACCCTGGACACTTACTATTGGCATAATTATGGACGTCATAAGGTTATATTTGTCTGGAAAATATGCGCTTTATATGGTTCCCTCGCCCATTGGAAAAGATCTCTTTATTTGCAGCGCCAACCTTTTGTCAACTTTTACAATGAGCGCTGTAGTTTGGTCCACGACGCCAGAGCCCCCGAGTAAAACTATTCTTTGGATCGTCCAAGTATGTGCGTCCTTTCCAGTAACGCTTCCCGCTGGCTAATAAAATATTCCCAACTCTAGAATGCTCAAAATCTTACAGTATTATCGAACCCGACGCAGTCCGCGCTTATATTATTTATACCTGCGGCATGTGTCTTCGCTATTACGGCTATTACAGCGAGTAATAGCTTTGTTTTAATGATATTTCTCTTCGCACAGATATGTTGGCTATTTACAGATGTATCGGCAACAGAATACTCCCTTATATGTTTACCTTGGACAGTTAGCATTGGGCTGCTCATCAGCGTCGTATGGCGGTCTCTGCATGCGACAATGTCCAAAATCTTGCCATATTTAGCCGAGCAGAAGATCGAAGATTTTAAAAGTATGCAACGGATTATGTCCGCGGCTTGGGAACTGATGGAATATCCGGGGAGAAAGAAGTTGGAGAAAACGCGGGAGAGGTTAGAAAAGTTAGCAGAGATGCGACGAAGAAGGGGGTGGGAGAGGAGGGAACGAGAGTGGAGAATGGTTGATCAATGGGAGCGGGTGAGGAAGATGGAATGGGAGAGTGAGAGTGAGAGGGAGTGGGAGAAGAGAGAGTGGGAGAGGGAGAGGGAGAGGAAGATAAAATGGGAGAGTGAGAGTGAAAGGGAATGGGAGAGGGAGTGGGAGTGGGAGAGGGAGTGGGAGAAGGAGTGGGAGTGGGAAAGGAGGCAGTGGGAGTGGGAAAGGAAGCAGTGGGAGAGGATTGAGGATGAGAGAAGGGAGTATAAAGAGAAGGAGCAAGAGAGAAGGGAGCAAGAGAGGAGTGAATGGAGGAGGAGTGAACAGGAGAGGCTACGTATAGAGAAGCAGACACAATTCGTATTTAAGGAGTGGAATAGGAAATTAGTCAAGGACCGGGAGTGTACAGAGCCGGAGAAGGTAGAGTTAGAGAGGAAGAAGTTGGAAGAGGAGTTGAAGAGGGCAGAGCGGGCGATACGGGGGTTATTAGAGCAGTGGAATGAAAAAATGAAGGAGGAGCGAGAGAAGATAGAGCCTATAAGAAGGAATTTACAGGAAGAACGGGAGAGGATAGAGCAGCAGAGGATGGCATGGGAGCAAGCAGAGTGGGACAGAAGAAATTTAGAGAAGGTGCGAGAGAGGGCGGCTTGGGACCAAATCTTCTCAGAGGAGGAGATGCAGAAGATAAGGCTAGGTGATGTAGAGAGTATATTGCGGGGGCGTGAAAGAGTTGCTTGGACTGGGTTGTTCTCGATATTTGTACTCCTTGTTGTGGCTGTCTTGTCTGACAATCCTTCCGGCTGGTACATTTTTCTGTTATCTTTCGGGCTGTATTATATCCTACGAACTTTTCTCTTATAGCGCTGACTACGTCTTGTAGGGTTAATACGGGAAAGAAATGAAATGAAAAGCAAAGATTGCTGCAGCAACTAGGAACCTGAAGGTGATAGCAAGTTATGCGAAAACGTTTACAATTTTAGTTGTATGTATTCCTTGAAGAATGCGCGCCACGTTCGCTTTCCTTCGGTTGAGAATGGAATAGAAAGCATCTGACTTGCTATATACCACTTGGATTTTTCAGTGTTAAAGATATATTGAGGTTCTTTAAAAGACTGGAGAATCTTCTGCACTACAGCGACTATCTTCCAGTCCTTAATTAAAAGCTTTCTTTTAATATTACTGGGAGGTCCTGTTCTCTACCGCCTTATCTAGCCTATCGTTCTTTAATTATAAAAAACATTCTGTTTAAAGCAGATTGCTTTAGTAACGCTTAACAAGCCATGGCCTTATTGGACTGCTAACGAGTACAGATATTCTAGGCCTATGCAAGTACTGGCTTATCAGGAGCAGTTTACCGCTAAGCCTTGTAAAAGTCCTCGAAAAGTTAGCTGCTTGTTTAAAGGGCAATGCCTATATTATATAGCTTGCCAAACAGGCCATACTTGCTATAATTTTCCATCATAACAGCATCAACCATCTCCATAACCAGGCACAAATCCTGGGTCTCACCTGTTATAGTGGTAAGCGCTAAATCTTCCTCCAAACCCAGAGCATCTAAATCATCGTCGCTTTTCAATACATTGACGGCGTCAGACAGCTTACGCTGCTCATCTTCTTCAATCATAAAGTCTAATCATCCCAATGCGCAAGCAGCTCGGCAAAGTTATCTCTTTTACCAAATCCATTGCTTTTACTGCAAGGTTGAGAAAATGGGGACCGCAGGCTACAGCGAATACAACATTCGTGTTCGTCAAAACTAAACTCGTTCGCAAGTGGCTCCATGGCCGTATTGTTATTTATTGCATTATCAAGCATAAAGTATCCGATTCTGTTCTAAAGGCTAAATATATATATCGTATCAGCAACTTCATCTGCCAAGGCTGCTCCGGCATAGCGCTTTCGGAGAGCAGGCAACGCTAGAAGAATCCTCCATTATTTCCAATCCCAGTCTATGAATTAAGCGTTAACGCCAAGGAATAACGCGTTCTGTCTGGAGGTCTAATCGTTAAAAGTAAAGTAAATTATGCTTCTTGCTCTCTAAAGGAGAACTTTTATAGGATCAAGAGCTCGATTATACTCTTTTACAAAAAGACTCACAAGGATCCTATCGCTTGGTATCTGTTCCTCTTGAAGACAAGGATTGATATAGCGTAGTAGTGGCTTAAAGCCTTTCGAATTAATTAGATTAAAAGGGAGATTGTAGTAAATAAGACAGTCTAGAAGTAGTAGCTTATTTATCGCTGGATTAAATTAAGAGTGTAGATTGCTAAGGAGGCTCTGGTCTCGAGGATTTGTCGGATCAGTGCGCAGCATATCAAGCACGCTTCATTTTGCAGCTCCAGTCCCAGTGATAACTTCCTCCAAGCCAGCAGGCTGGACGACCCCGTGTTCCATTCTAAGATTACGAATAATAATCCCAGCAGTTGATGCGATGAACATGTAACGCAGAGGTTTCGTTTTATTGCGCAGGAAGCATCTTTCTCAGACCCACACAATCTTAGGGGGCTTAGAGCCATGGTCTTTCATCTTGAAGCCAAATTGCCGCCACCGTGTCCGCTCTCGAGAAGGGTCATGGAATGTTGTGAAGTTTGGAAATCGCTTGAATCTTTCAGTCGTTCTCTACGAAAATCCTTCCCTTGTCCACTTGGGTGATTGTTCCCGTCTCAAGCGAGAGATCACCTATTGCTGGAGAGTTTCCAGAGGCGGCAATCGGAACAACAAGTGTCGTCCTCGATATAGTCAATGTGCAGAAGTCTTCTACTCGGAGAAGGTCCATGACCCTAAGCTCCTTTATATTTCCGAGTCCGCAACACACGACAGATCCGAACTTCCGGCGGTGGTGTTCTGGGTGGTTGGATGAGCTTGGTCCGACACAAGCTTCGGCTAACATTGAGATGTGGTCCAGCGCAGTCAACGGCTTTAGACATCTGAAACATACACCACTTAACTTCTCGTCCTCTACCCGCCATTTAGGTTTTGGGGTAAGATATATCCCTTCAGTTTAGTCTCTTATTCTATACTCACTCTCTCAGCATGGTCAAGGCCGCCCCTAATCACCGCCAGGTCGCCGCTACGAGTCAACATAACATCTCTCTTTGTCAAGGCACAAACAATGTCCCTCTTCCCAGCGAACCAATCGTATGGGACGAAAAAGTGCTCAAAGACCTCGATCGTCGGGGAATCTTTGCGTTGCGCGATCTCTAACCCGCTGTCGCCGAGATCAACAGAGCACACCCAAAAAGACCGGTTCAAGAATACGAGTTTCCTCGATTCGTCAATTCCGATGATATGGGCAGCGCTTAGTTCGAATGTCGTCATCCGTGAACGAAGCGGAGCGGCTGGGCTCGATGTCGTGACCATATTCTCCCCGTTTTCATCCTTGGCAAGTTGATCTAACGCCGCCACAGTATCCAATTGCTTCCCTAGCAAGCTGCTATCGTTGTTTCCGACGGCGAGGCAGTCTGCGTCAATTATCGCAATTTTGTTGGTATTGACGGAGCCGTTCGGATGTAACAAGTCGAGCATGATTCTTTGTTTTTGGCCGAGCGAATAGAGAAACGCGCTTTTGAGCTCTGCCGTGTCGTTGTCCAACGACAATGCAATAGATGAAACTTCAGACCAGTCGCTCCAGCGGTAGGCGCAGACTTTGTCGTTGTCGACGCGAACCAGATGTAGAGAGAATTCTGGATGAGGGAGCCATTTGCGGATTCCTGGTATTTGTGGATATGTCCGCTCTCTCTCATAGTTGCCACTGTCCAAGTTGAACAGATGATCAGACTCGCGAGTCGATACCAAAAACTTCGCTGCCATTTCTCCTACTAGCACATCTGTGATTGCCTTCTCAGAGTCGAGGCGGGACTTGAATAGTACTGTCAGATCGCCGAGCCAACCTTTGTTTGCTGACTTCTGGATTCTGTGTAAAAAGATCCCGTTGGACGCATCGACGCTAAGGAGGGCGTCTCTCTGTTCAATCCAGGCCAACAGGCGGACTGGTGACTTGTGGCTGTAGAGAGTCCCCAAGCTCGCTGCCATTTTACGCTCGTACAGTACGACTGATCCATCATCCTTTCCGCAAAAGACAACTTCGGACGTGTGATGGACCACCATGGCAGTGACCTTCGCTTTGGCTTCCACGGAAACCGTCTCGACCACTGTAGTGGAAGTGGGCCCGCTGCTGTCATCGCTCAGGGACTCCCGCAACAGAGCTTCAGGTTCCCAGACAGTGCACTGGGCGCCTCGTATGTCAGCAAGAAGCATACTGTCTCTGCTAAAGGCAAGCTGCTTGATATACGAGTTGGATGACTTGACCCGATAGAGGAGCTTGAACGTATCAAATTCGTAAACGTGGATAATCCCATTTGCACCACCCGCTGCGAGGAGGCGCCCATTGGGGCTTGGGGCGAGGGTTTGGCAGTTGGCACGAAAACACTCCAGCTGCTGGTCAGCAAAGGGGTCAAGGAGGGCAAGATCACCATCGAGGTATGCGACTGCGAGAAGGCTAATGTCAGGGTTGGGGTTAAAAGCAAGCGCGACGACGACATGCGTGCTGGTCTCTCCGCTAGAGAGTTTCTTGCCACAGCTGCCAGCGTAGGCATCCTCTTCCATGTCCCATAACGTAATAGGTTGGCCGCTGTAAGCGACAGCAAGCATGCCGTGGCTGGTAGAGAGAGTCAGTGCGTATGGGTTCCCTCGCGGAGGCGTTCGGTTCGTCCCTGGCGTATCGGTATCGCTCCATGGCCTCCGCGCCGACTCCGGCCGGGCGTCGTGTCCCAAATTCCAAGTCGCGACGTAGTTGTTGCGACTCGCAATTAAAAGCGTCTCTCCAACGAATTCTATCCCCAGCGGACGCGAAGGGCTCGCGAGGCTGTGCACCACTTGCCCACTTCTGATGTCCCAGACCTTTGCCATCTCCATACCACAAGTCGCTACGAGGTCAGTTTTGGTCTTGAAAGCAATGAAGTTGACAGCTTCACCATGCTCAAAGACCTTGTACTCCTGGTAGGATGTGGCGTAGTACAATACGACAGCTCCTGAACTGAGACCAACGGCTAGGAACTCGTCTCCATAACTCAACGCCCTTGGTTGACCCTGACGGAAATTGATGCACAGCAACCTGTCGTCCCATTGCTTGTTAGATGCGCCAAGCACTGCGAGCCTCCGGCCTGAGCCCCCGGTGTTGTATACCATAGACTCGGTGGGACAGAATGGGGGTATCAACGAGTATATAGCTGACGGTGATACCGTGAGGGCGTTGGCGAACATGGCAGGAATCCGAGCAAGGTCTGTGGTCCACTGTCGGAGCGCTCGTATCCGAGGGTCTAGTGGTGTACGCTCAACGGCGCACGCATTGGCGTAGGTTTTGAGATGTTTTGAGGCGCGGATGAGGTCATTGAGATTCCGAGAGTCGGCAATCGTTTCGATCCAAGTGAGGACATTGGATCCCAGGAACTGCACGACAAGCTGGAACGTCTCTGCCGCCAACGGATCAGCCCTCGAGAGATGATATGAGTATGCTGTGTATGCATAGGCGGCAAAATCTAGTCTTGTTGCTGGTAAATTTGCCGAAGAACGGTGTCGACTGTTCCTCGGAGGCTTCATTTCTTCCCCGACAAGGTAATTGAGACACACCTGAGCCATCCTTGTGTGGGCCTTAGTTTTCTCGATGGAGAACTCTGACTCAAATCCGCCGGCCACAAGAAATTCTCTGGCAGTTTCATGCACCATCTTAACTCTCCCATATTTGTCCACAACCACCAGTTGACCACAGAGCGCGGCGATGCTTTCCTCCAATCTTGGGAATGAGTCGTGGGTGTCCAGGGTCAGAGCACCGTCCAGCTCGCTGATTTTCATAGGTCGAACCGCACATGCTGCCCACATGAGAATGGTTTTGGCCAGCTCCTTTCCACGAGCGGCCTGCGACATGTAGTCTAAAGTCCGCTT